ATGAGAGAGAGAGAGAGAGAGAGAGAGAGAGAGAGAGAGAGAGAGAGAGAGAGAGACTACCCACGATCCACCACACACAGGAAGTACGTATCCCGACATTAAATCATTTTAACGGAAACCCTTTGATGTATTGGGCCACAGGTTTTGATTTAATTGCTAGGATTCTATCTTCTCTTACGTTCCCAAATATTCCCTTGTTTGCAGATGAATATTCATAATGTGACTTGCAGGCCCGCACGGCGAGATTGAATTTGCAGACCAGACACATTAGAGAGCCAGAAGGGTGGCGGCTATCGGACATCGTCTCCGGGTTCTCCCTCTCTCGGCCCTCCTGGTTGTTCTTCTCCTCAGATCGATGCCTCCGTGTTTGGTGTCGGGGCCACATACTCTGATCGCTCACAATGAAACTGAACTCTGCGGCCAGACATCAAAGCTCTTCAAATAATGGAGAATTGATCCTTGGAGCTTAAATATATTTCCTGAGAGTGACTTTTGCAAATGATCGTTACCGAGTCGTGGTTTAATTCCGGGTTTGTTTCAGGAAAATTTTTACTTCGGTTTCCTTTTCCTTTTTTTTTTTTTTCGTTTGTTTTCTTCTTTTCATGAGATTCTTGGGTTTGCCGTCATCAAAGATCGTACAGAACAAGATAGTTCACTCAGCCAAAAATGTGTCCGCGGAAGTCCGCGCATTGGTTCAGATGGCGCTGCAGTCTTGGTTTTGAAACTCTCTTTCCTTTCTACAGAAGAAGAATAGCAATAGCACAGTTTGTTATTTTCATTTTTATTGTCTTTTTACACAAGTAGGGTAACTCTAATTACAAAGACCGCACTTTTTCGAAGAGGGCGCCACCGAATTTGAGGACGCTTTTTTACTTGGCCCAAAGAGAGGAGTGAACTACCGGTATCTTATTATGTACGATCTTTGACGTTTTTGCAAGATGTATATGTGCGGCCGAGAGCACAGACGTACTAAAGAAATGCCTCAGCTGTCTTTCCCAAGACACGTCTTAGACTTAACCAGTGACAATTCCCCTCGTCCCACAACCCTTGTATTTTACTTTAAAGGGAAACCGAACCCTAGGCGACGTCGGTAAGATCGGTTGTATGTCCATTTTAGCAGACAAGGAAGAGAAGAGCAAGTTTAAGCGGAAAAAAAAGAAACATTTATTCATGCTGGAATTGACTTGCAGGATTCTCATCAATCATGATAAATGTTATTAAAGAGAGAGATTTCAGTAATTTAAAATGGTAATGGACTGGGCTCACACTCATGAAGCACCCCTCACCAAAAAAATAAAATAAACCAACCAAACAACAACAACATAATAATCAACAACAAAGACAAACAAGAAAAACAAATAAACAAACAACAACAACCGCAAACAAAAACAAAAAACAAAAACAAAAACAAAAAACTCCCCAAAGCAACAAGCTCGCCTGGGGGAGAACGGCACCAACACAACGTCTCCAAGTCCAAGAACAAAAACTCCGTTTCCTGGCCACTCTCGTAAAAATAATAATAATAAAAACTATGAAACACACCTTAACATCATACCAGAGTACGTCCTTCGCCAACAACAACTAATAACTTGCAACACCCCCTCCCTTTCCCCTCCCTCTTCCCTCCCCTCTTTTTTCTCCTCCCACCATGACAGTAGAAGTGTTAACAGTTGCGCCAAAGGGCCGGCAGGTATTTCCGAAATGCCAGAACTGGCGGAGTTCCAAGCTGTAATTGCTCAAGGGTTCTTTCATGTTGCCTTTTTATCCAATGAACCAAAACACTGTCCGGTACACCTTATGCACATTTCATTAGCATTAATGATGACAAAAAAGCGAACCCCTTCCTTGTTTCCCGTAGCAAAGCCCCCCC